GCCCGCTTAAGATCATCAGGTCCAACTGTCACCCCAACCCCCCCACGCCTGCTAAACCGTGTCCCCAAGTGCCACATCCACACAGTGTCTGAACCCCTCCAGGGATGGGGACTCCCCCACTGCCCTGGGCAGCCTGGGCCAAGGCCTGACTCTTTCAATAAAGGCGTTTTTCCTGATATCCAGGCTGAACCTCCCCTGACACAACCTGAGGCCATTGCCTCTCGTCCTGTCGCTGGTTAACTGGGAGAAGAGACCAACACCCACCTCCCCCTTAATCTAAAGCTACCCCCTTTTAGTTTAAAGCCATTACCCCTATGTCCACTTCTGTGATCAAGTAGCAACTTAAATGGACCTAGCGTTTATTCTTTTGAGAAACTGGTTCAGTCTGTCAGTGGAAAGGATTACTGCTTCTTAAACACGCGTGTACCCCAGTGGGAAGAGGCACGTAGGGCTGCCTGTGTGCCTGGGAGGAAGGGAGCTCCGTGGGCCTGGTCCAGCCCTCTGTCTCCCATACGGTTAGTTCTGCTTCGCTTATGGTGATGCATCAGTGACTTGCTGTCATCATCTTGACTATCAGGTGGGTGTAGACTTCACTGGCTCCAATGGGGATCCCAGGTCACCAGATTCTCTTCACTACATCAGCCCAGACGGGATAAATGAGTACCTGATTGCCATCTGGAGTGTGGGAAGTGTAGTCCAGGATTATGACACGTATGTAATCGTAACTGATCTAGCCACTGCATCAAAACTGTGTCACAGCGGGTGTCAGTGAACAAGGCGGGTAGCTTGTTCCAGAGCTGTCACGTTTGAACTACAGGTGCTGAGCTGCTGCTGCTTCCTCCTGCTTCTGTCACTGCCAAGGAGGGCAGTGGCAGCCCTTTGTAATGTGGCATATTTGCTTGGTTTGTCCCTCCAGGTCTGCCCTTTTATGGCCCTGGGTTACTCTGCAACGCTGCTTCAGCTGGTCAGCAATCCCTTGTTGCTGATGGTGCTTTCAGACACGAATGCCCTGTCTGATCCAATGGGAAGATGTTTGCCAGCTCTGTCCTTTAGCCAGGGTGTGGTCAGGCTGGCTTTTCTCTTGCTGTATTGAAGTCTCCTGAGACTCCTGTGGGGTGCTGCACTGAAAGAAATCCTGAAACGGTCAAGCACAAGCCTGCAACCCCTGGGTAACTGGTGGCTGGCCATGGGGAGCTAGATGGTGTACCCCTTCCTTGTGGCAGGAATTGAACCTTGGTCTCCAGCTGCTTTCTGGGAGTAAAACAGAACAGCGAGTCATTAAAGAATTTCTGTTTCTCATTTCTTGTTGTTGTCCTTTCTCTTCAGGGACAAGCTGTTTCCTGCGTTTGGGTTTGGAGCTCAGGTTCCTCCTACCTGGCAGGTAGGGCCTTCGAAACGCTGGGCAGTTGCTCTGTCCAAGTCTGCATTCCCTAACTGTGATGTCCCTTCCTAGGTATCTCATGAGTTTGCATTGAACTTCAACCCCAGCAACCCTTATTGTGAAGGTGAGGACACCTCTTACTGATACTTGGCTGAGAGGGACAGATGTTTGAAGTGGTGTATTTCTGTTGTAGCTGGTGAAAAACAGATGTGGCACCAAGGCATACAGAAAATTAGATTTACTCTTGCCTGGATGCTGATGGATCATAGAAGCATAGGTTGGAAAAGACTTCTAAGATCATTAAGTCCAACCGTCACCCCAACGTCCCCATGCCTGCTAAACCATGTCCCCAGGTGCCACATCCCCACGGTGTCTGAACCCCTCCAGGGATGAGGACTCCCCCACTGCCCTGGGCAGCCTGGGCCAAGGCCTGACCACTCTTCCAGTAAAGACATTTTCCCCAATATCCAATCTGAACC